GGGGAAAACATGCCATTTATCTCTTTAATAACCATCTTGAGGAAAATTAATGTGACCTTGTCCTTTGTGCAGAACAATAATTGAATTGTGTGTTTTATTTATATCTGGACAAAGGCCAGGATATTGAAATACTTCTCAATATTAGATTTTCTTTTTAAAAAATTAGATTCTATTGGCATTCTCTTTCTGAGATTTCTTCATTAAAAGCTTCATTAAACATAAATCTTCTTTACACAGCAGAAAACAAAATTTTAAGGAGGACATTTAAAAGGTCTTTTGGAAGAGTAGTGCTACGTGTTTTACTGGTGACTTGTCTCTTCCCAGGGATCTGGCATTCCATGGATAAAATGATAATTGATCTTTGCCTACACATGTCTGATATTAGTTACATTGAAAGTTGAAGCTATATAACAAGTTGCAGTGTTCTAGAGTCTAAATCTATCACAAATACACTATTTTTAGAATTTGGGGCTAGGGAGTATGATATAGAGGCTTAATTCAGGGACATCCAAATCCTGGGGCCTCCTTCTACTCTGGAAGAGATGAAGTCATCCATTAGGAAGAGAGAGATTCCACAAGTTTTCAGCTGTGCTGAAAGATTCAGCTGGGCTTTAGGTACATGTATGTACTACACTTTGATTATGGCTTTTGAAAAGGAATGAACACACTCCTCACAAGGGCAACGAGAAAAGTGAGAGCTATATAGTTTTCCCACCTTCAAGCTCTTCTGTACTCATCACTCCCTGCAAAATCAGGCAGACTCACTTTTCAGCATGATGCAATATAATTTTGGAGACAGTGTGTGTGCAAACTCAGTTCCACTCTTGGTCTCTTGATGCTGTGTTTCTGGTTCACACCTTTCTGAGGGGAGGGAGGTAGTTAAATGGTTTGATCTGAAAGGCCTTCCCACTGGGCTGCAAACTTCATGTGTAACACAAATACAAATGTGAGGAGTCAATGAGGGACAATCATAGCAAAGAGCAGTCTCATCTATAAAAACTTAAAAACCAAGATCTATGTGTCCGTGTCAAAAGCCTGCAACGTGGGAACATTCACCCCATGATCATTGAAAACTGAGTGTAAAACATTTATCAGATGAATAGATTTTTTTTTCCAAAAGGAGAAAATACCAATGTGATTGTAACATAGAAGCTTGTAACATTTTGTTAGTTTTCGACCTATAATTTTTAAAGGAAACTGCAGATATAATAATCCAGTCTCTGCCTCTGGACGAGAAGTACTGGATGGGTGTGAGATGAAGGGTGACTTTCAGGGCTCAGAGGAGGCTGGGAGTCTAGGAGCCAGGACTGGGTGTTGAGTAAGGAGCACAGAGGAACTGGATTCTGAGGCTCCAGAAGCCAGGATGGGTTCAAAGCACCACATTTGGACGGATGGAGAGCGAGAACTGGATTCTAGACCAAATGTCAGCAAGAGTCAAGGCAAGAGGTGAAATGAAGCAGCTGGGTTTCAGGAGTGGTGCCTGCAGAGTCCCAAGGCCACCTTCATGGGGCTTGGCCAGCCTTATAGGGCATCTGAAGCTGAGCCCGAGGTGAGGAAGAGGTAGTGCAGCTGGTCCACTCGTTCCTTCCCTTAATCCTGAAGCCAAAGATTAAGCTTTTCTTGGCTTTTCCCTTTGGAAGTCTTTTATTCTCAGGACAATTCAAGACCAGGAGTAAGTCCCCACAAGCACTCCTTCCGTCTCTTCCCCGGGCTGACATTGGCATGGTGTGGTCAGGGGTTCAGAGTGTCCGCAGTGAACACTGTTTGGGGTCCAGGGTTTCTCCCAAAGGCTGCCTGGGCACAGGGTGCAGAAGGGTTGGCTGGGGGCCTCACAGCGCACGACAGTTTAGGTCAGCGTGAATTCACACAAAGGAAGCCATTGGAATTGGATAGGTTATGAACCTTGGGCAGCCATCTGGTCCCTCCTGCACACCTCCCTCCTCACCAAACCTCCTTCAAATAGCTGGTCCAGGGAAGTCTAACAGATTCAGTGACAATTAATTTTTTTTAAAAAAAGTAGAATAGTTCTGGCACAAAGAGAATATAAGAAAAAGTATAAAACAGCATCCAATTTGACCAAAAGAGGAATAATATTCACCAGAAAAGTATTCCAGAGAGCAGAAAAATGCTAGGGAACTACAAAAAGTTTAATGAAGCAATAACCTCTGTGAAGGAAGGCCACAAAGCATCAATGCCAGAACTGGGGGGAAAGATGTGAAGACAACAGGGAAATCACAGGAAATGAGAAATTAGTCAAAAATACCTTAGATTTTTGTTTTACTGTTACTGGTTCAATACTGATAAAATGGATAGAAAATAGGTTCTACAGAAGACCTAAACAACATGATTAAATAAAATAGTGATGAATAATATATATTGAACTCCATAACCTGCAAATAGACAATATAATTCCCTATCCTCCAAATACTGTGGTTTTTGGAACGCTCATCAATCTATATTTGCTTCTTTCTCCATCTCATCTAGTTTCATGGCCCCAAACACAATTTATATGCTCACACCTTCCAAGCATGTATCTCCAATCTGAACTTCTCCCGTGAACTCCTGACTCATATTCATCTGCCTACTCAACATCCCTGCCTGGATGTATAACAGGCAACTTAAAGCTAAACATGTTGAGAAACTGGACTCCTGACATCCCATGCCTGCCAACCACTCCTTACAGCTGTCCTCATCTCGGCTGTTGGGAACTCCATTCTAGCTTGGGCCATGTTTCCTATCCAACCCATTAGCAAGTCATGCTGGCTCTACCTTCAAAAAATATCCAGAATCCAAAGGCTTCTCAGTACCTCGACTGTGGCCCCCCCTATCCAGGCCACCTCCTCACTGGCCTCTCCATTTCCGTCCAAGGCCCCTTACAATCTCGTCTCTTATAGCAGCCAGAGGGATCCAATTAAACATAAAATGGATGGATTACTTCACTCTTCTGCTCAATCCTTCAAGTAGCTTCCCCTCTCAGAGTAAAATCCAAATAAAATGACCTGTACTACTCCCTAGTTGTCTCTCCTAAATGCCTTCTCCTGCTACTCTTTCATTCAACCGCTGTGTTCTGCAACCTCACTGGTCTCTTAGATCATGCCAGGAACAGTGTATCCTGCCTCAGGACCTTGGCACGTGCTGCCCTTTTGCTCTTTCCCAGTTGTTCATGTGGCACACTCCCTTGCTCCCTCCAGGACTTTCCTCAAATGTGGAAACTATTCTTTAAACAAAGACCATATTAGGACAGGCTACTTTCAAGATTTTTAGATGATTGGGTTCAAAACAAAGACTGATTTAGGCGATATATAGTAACAACAACTGTTTATATTAGTGCTTGGCCCTTTACGAAGCTCTTCAACATACTATGCACCTTTAAAATATGAAAATAACCCTGTGGATGCATAGAATCATTCATGTTTTATAATGAGGCCTTGTCTAAGGTCACATAGCCAGTATCTTCTAGAATCTTCTAGAATCAGCCTTCACTCCTGCCTTATAGTCCCAGAGCAAATGCTCTTCTTCCTCTACATATAATGATAATAATAGTAATAATTAAAATAATAATATTAATGATAGCAGCTAACATTTACTGAACTCAAAGCACTGTTTTAGGCTCTTTATAAGTATTCTCACATTTAATCCTCAGAGAAGCCTAGGAGGTAAACAGTTTTATTATTTGCAGTTTACGGAGACAGGGACTAAGTCAGTGCCAGGTTAAATAACCTGTTCATGGTAAATTGGTGGTAACGGCAGAGGTAGGATTTATACCCAGGCACTAGGACTCCAGTTCCTGGGTCCCTACTACCACCCCAAATCCCTGCTTGGTTGTAGAATAGTTTTGTCTGCTTTGCTAGATATGCTAGATACAGTTTACAGTCTGGCATAAGTGAGTTCTCCAGTTGAGTAATTAGAGGTCAACTGTGTTCACCCAAGATTTCTTGAAGGCATAGGGAGTTTAAGAAATAACATCTTGGGCTTCCCTGGTGGCAGAGTGGTTAAGAATCCACCTGCCAGTGCAGGGGACATGGGAACAGTGCTGGTCCGGGAAGATCTCACATGCTATGGAGCAACTAAGCCTGTGTGCCACAATTACTGAGCCTGTGCTCTAGAGCCCACAAGCCACAACTACTGAGCCCGCGTGCCTAGAGCCTGTGCTCCACAACAAGAGAAGCCACTGCAATAAGAAGCCCGTGCACTGCAACGAACAGTAGCCCCGAGTACCCGCAACTAGAGAAAGCCCGTGTGCAGCAATGAAGACCCAACACAGCCAAAAATAAATTAATTAATTAAAAAAAAAAAAAAGAAAAAGAAATACCATCTTCTGGACCTGGAGATGATCATACTAAGCGAAGTAAGTCAGAAAGAGAAAGACAAATACCATATGATATCACTTATACGTGGAATCTAAAATACAACACAGATGAACATATCTATGAAACAGAAACAGACTCACAGACATAGAGAACAGATGTGTGGTTGTCAAGGGGGAGGGAGGGTGGGGAACGGAAGTACTGGGAGTTTGGGATGAGCAGATGCAAACTCCTATACATAGGATGGATAAACAACAAGGTCCTACTGTACAGCACAGGGAACTATGTTCAATATCCTGTAATAAACCATAATGGAAAAGAATATAAAAAAGAATATATATATGTATAACTGAGACACTTTGCTGTACAGCAGAAATTAACACAACATTGTAAATCAACTCTACTTCAATAAAATTTAAGAAAAAAGAAATACCATCTTCGATTGGGTTTAAGTGTGAAAAATTTCAATGGAATTGATAATTGTCAGATGTTGTAATCTGCTTAAGCAGAGGTTTGTAGTTCCTGAAACATCCCATGACCACCTTTTCTAAGGTGGATGTTTTATCTCTAAACAAGATGCCCACTGCTGCAGATTAACCAGTTTGTGCCCGAGAGCTTTCCATTCCAGCAGCAATGGAGGCATTGTCTCTACACGGAGGCTCGCAACAGGCGGAGGAGAGAGAGCTGCCTTACCTGGGGTGACTGTAGGCTACCTGCCGGAACTCGTGATTCCAGTTCGGTCTTCCATAGAAGGTTTTCTGCCTTAATCCCGTAATCACGTCAGTATTTTCATCCCAGTGTAAAGCTATGTGAAAGGCCTAAAGTAAAAATTGTGGTATCAGATGACATTTAGAGGGAAAAGAAAAGGAACCTCTAATAAATGAAGGATGAAGTAATTATGCTCATTTGTAGATTTAATACACAACTTTTTATAGGAAATTCTTTGTAGTCTACCTTGGGCACTATTGAAACAAAGTGCTTTCTATGTGGTTGATGTGCAGAAACGTGAGCCTGGAAAGAAGATTTTTCTTGAAAGGATGAGAGAAATACGGTAAAAGGGGTAAAGGAAAGCAAGCACTAAGCTACTTCCTTTTTTTTTTTCTTCTGCCAAATTTCTCAAAAAGTAATCTCTAGCTCTGTCCCCATTCACTTCACAGTAAATCCTGGGGATGTGAGAAGGGCCCTGACAGATTAAAGTGATAGAAAAAGCCCAGGGTGAAGCTGGATTTTACGGTGAGATCTGCCTACTGGAGTGAAACGGTCTGTGTCCAGGTTCAAGTGCTGGGAGGATGTTGAGTCTGGCAGGCAGAGAGGTGGCCAGAACTAGCAAGGGGCATGGCTGGAGCTCTGTGGCCAACGGCTTGCCTTCAAATTACACGAAAGCACCCAGGCATCAAGTGGTCGATAAATAAGAGTCTGGGGAATAGCCATGCCTAGTGATGATTTTTTAAGTTGCTATGATTTGTTTCAGCCCACGCTGAACTCTGGTAGGTAAGAAGGATTCTTGCTTCTTACCTCCTGGGATATGTGTCTGCTCTGCTCAGATCCCGCCACAGCTCTTGAGCTCATGGGTTTTTACCCTTTGGTACTTCATTTGCTTACATCCTCTGAGCAGTATGGGTAACAACCCTGCTGGGCCCACCTCTTACCCCATGATCCTGCTGCAAGACTGGCTTCCCCGGCTGGCCTTCACATCAGTCTAGGAAAGCAGCCAGGGGTAGGGAGGCTGCACCCTAACAGGCAGTAGACGGTGGCAGACTTTGGTGGAGTCTCAGATATCCAGGCTGCAGGAAGTTGGCACCAGGCAAGTCTGAGCCTAGGTAGCAGGGCTACTACAGGAACTGAATTTGGGAAGAGGACTCCAGGCAAGAGAGGGAAAACTGGCAAGAGTGGGGCAGGACCCCCTTCTTAGGCAAGTTTTTCAAAGCACGAAATATGAGACAAGAGTTCAGGGATAAGAACGGAGGTGGTAGTTGAGGACAGAGCCTTGAAAACTGGCGGAAGCCGCATTATCAGAACTGGAACTCAGGGTCAGAGTTGTATCGGCCTCTGGATTAGAATGGCAGTGTTGCATCTCCACAGGCTTTTGCTTAACAGTAGGATGGATTGGTGCTCTAGAGGAAGCTGGTTCCAGCAGTGGGCAGAATAAGAAGGCAGAGACAGTTGACTCCCTTTTGACTAAGTGCCAAATCTAATGACCAACTCAGGCCTTATTTTCCTTGGCTTCTCCACCATGTGGTTGAACATTGCTTCTTCTTGGTTCTATTTGCATTACAAAATCCTAGTTCTTCTATTTCTCTCTGATTCAAGAAAGAAACAGTAGTTGTTATTTTCTTATCATATTCTCCTGTCTTGATATGTAGCTGCCTTCTCAGTCTCTAGCTCAGCTCTCTGCATCTCTTTCGGACCACTACTCCCCAAAGAGCTTCCATTTTCACAATCCAATTAGCATAATCTACAAAGATGAATTCAAACTTTCTCTCCCAAGCCTTCCTCTTCCTGCTTGAGTAGAATTCTGCATCTCAAACTCCCCAAACATATTTTTATGTAGAATTCTTTCTGTTCCTTCAAATTGACCATCATAGCTAAAAATGAATCATCTCACTTTCCAAATAATTTGTGACTTCAAGTTACTTCCACGTACAACTGTTAAGGATTTCCATAGGCAGGCAGAGTGCTATGAATCGAATGGTACAAAGAAGACAGACAGAAGGTCTCTGCTCTGTGAGGCACTGGTCATTGGAGGGAGAGGCAGACCATGTGCACAATTTCTATGCTCTGATTCAGACCACCACCCTTCTTTACCAGAGACAGAAGCGAAGTGCTCTGGAGAAGGAAGCATGTTACTCTGGTGAAGCCCCAAGTAATTTTGACTAAGAGAACTGGGCAAGGCCTTAGTGGGGACTGGTCTTGAAAGGATGATTCCATGCAGTAGTGCAGCAGGTGGGACAGAGGGCACTGAGTGACATGTCAGGGAAAGGAAACAGGATGAGGGGAGATGGAATTAAGAAAGTCCTTGGTGTGATTGGAGAACATGTATTGTTTGGTGGCTCTGGTGCCAGGGGAAAATGATGGGAATTCTATAGAACAAGTGGGTTTTGCCGTCAGGTCAGGAGGGGCCTGGAAATATCTGCTAAGAAGTTTGGGCATTATTCAGTAGAAAAAAGAGTTTTCCCCACTTCCGCCCATGGTACCTTCCAGCTACCAATCACTGATGTTCAAACATTTGGAATTATGTTTGCTCCATATTTCTCAGCCCAGTGTTCAATTAATTCTCCAAACCCTGTTGATTTGCCCTTCATAATAATAATAATTTGCCCTTTTCCATCTGTCCCTTCTGTTCTTGTCATTCTGCCACTTTGAGGTTGTTGAATTCAGTTTAGCAACTGGCTGTTTCTAAAACAGCCTCTTGATTCCTGACTGACAGCATGTACCAATTATTTTGTCCTGAAATTTAAGCATCTCAAGAATTTCCAACATGTCATGGCAAAAATTTAAGAACATGTCTATTTTAATTTGCTCGTATTCAGAAGAAAACTATCTCTTAACAGCGTACTTTTGGAAGTGGCAGGGATGGGATGGGGTAGAGCTGTGTTGTCACAAAATCAAACAGAGCCTCGGTCTTGCAACTTCCAAGTGACTGGGGTTGCTTAAGTGGACACTCAGGATCGATTCACTTTAGAAGCAGAAGAGCCAGCACAGGACCAGAAAGCAGAAGACAAAGGCTTGTTTGTACTTCACCAAGTGGATCATTAGTCAAAAATCCCATTGAATATGAGAAAAGTATTTGTTTGGAAAATATAATTAATACTATTTAATTCATGAAGATGTTTCAAGCCTAATTCCCAGGAAACCTCTATTTCAAGTATCCCAGAGGAATAAATATGTAAGGCCGACTGCAAATAAGACCCTAAAAAATTGTTTAGCTACTGAATTTCAAGCAAGTCTTATTCATTTGCAGAAGCACAGAGTCAAATTACAGTGATGTTCTATAGGGCCAATTTGTGTGTGTGTGTGTGTGTGTGTGTGTGTGTGAGAGAGAGAGAGAGAGAGAGGCTCTCAGGAGTGCATTCATTTGTAAATTTAGTAACTAATGCAAATCTCTGGTTCAAACACACTTTCCTTAAATATCTATAGTAGCTGTCACAGAAGTGCTGATTAGGACATAAATGTCATAACCTAGTAATCACTTCATTGTTAACTTCCATATTTGAGGAGTTAAAAAAGATTGGAAATGTAATAGTTATCATTCAATACTATCAACACTGAAATAGTACCATAGTGCAATATTTTGATATGCATTATTTTTGGTAAACTCAACCTTAATATGTCATTAATACATATTAATGGACACAGCAGAACACCTGTCCCAACAGATCATTTTGATCTTAGGTGAATAAACATACGTGCACACAATTTCTAAGAATGCCTTAAGAAAAATAAATCTCTAGATAAATCATGTATTCATAATAATTATTTTCTGTAGGAACTCACATGGTTTACAATACAAAATGCTGAACGTCAACACCTGTCAGCTTTTTCTGTTTAACTCTGAACAGCTCAAAACATAGAATTAGAACCAATTCGGAGCTCAACGAGACAATATAGCCAATCCATAATGTTTGCTTGATGTTACTAAATTTCAAATGCAGCTTTTAAAAAAAATTTATTTATTTTATTTATTTTTTATTTTTGGCTGCATTGGGTTTTCGTTGCAGGGTGTGGGCTTTCTCAGTTGCAGTGAGCGGGGGCTACTCTTCATTGCAGTGTGCGGGCTTCTCATTGCGGTGGCTTCTCTTGTTGCAGAGCACGGGCTCTAGGCATGTGGACTCAGTAGCTGTGGCACACAAGCTCAGTAGTTGTGGCTCACAGGCTCTAGAGCACAGGCTCAGTAGCTGTGGCACACGGGCTTAATTGCTCCGTGGCATGTGGGATCTTCCTGGACCAGGGCTCAAACACGTGTCCGCTGCATTGGCAGGCGGATTCTCAACCACTGCGCCACCAGGGAAGCCCCAAATGCAACTTTTAATGACATAATTTCTCTTGGATTTCCAAACTTGGGGTTTTCTCCCTTTAACCAACCTCTTTTTCCAATCTTCTTTTCCATTCCTCAGCAAATTAACTGTAGCTTTTTTTTTTTTTTTTTTTTTTTTTGCGGTACGCAGGCCTCTCACTGCTGTGGCCTGTCCCGTTGCGGAGCACAGGCTCCAGACGCGCAGGCTCAGCGGCCATGGCTCACGGGCCCAGCCGCTCCGCGGCATGTGGGATCTTCCCGGACCGGGGCACGACCCCGTGTCCCCTGCATCGGCAGGCGGACTCTCAACCACTGCGCCACCAGGGAAGCCCAACTGTAGCTTTTATTGCTACAATTGAATAGCTCTTTCTAATCTGGTTTTATTTTATTCTTTTTCTTTTAAAGAACATAAAAACAATACTTTCATGCTGCTAGATAACCGTGTAGCTCATTATTGAAATTATTCCTCTTCTCTTTGCTCTATCATGACACAAGTTAGATAGTATTGCTCATTCTCAAAGTCTTATCTATACCTGATTTTCATCCCAGCCAGTAAGAAATATATGATAACTCAGGAAGTGAGTTTTCCCTTGCTCACTCATCCTTGTTTCCAGCGAGAGTAAGAGATCGGCAAACCACTCAAAGGCTCCTGGATCTCGGCAGATCCAGTAGAAGTACACCTGTTAAGAGAGAAGGCAAGAAAACAGATCTGTCCCTCTTTTCATAATGTGCTGATAATCGCAGACTACTTTATCTCCACTAAATTATTTGAGCCCAAATGGGCACTTCTGCAAAATAACACGCTTCCCTCTGCCAGCGAACAAATAGTCACACTGTGATTTCTTTTGAAAAAATTCACATTGTGTTTGAAAAGGCCCAGAATGAATTCAGAGTCAGGAGCCTGTGGGCTGTTGCCAGTTTCACTGGATGAGGATCAATTTACCCCATTCCTGGCTGTGCTTCTTCTGAATGAGGTTAATAATCATAACTAGCTGTGCCTTTCACTCTTCCCAAAGGGGGATAAACTGTTAGACCAACGCCCTTCATCTTCACTTATGACCTAAGGTCTGGATTTGAACCGTCTCCAGAGACGCAAAGGCTTGTTCACTAATCCACTTCACCAGCCATGCCCTCCGGAGGGTGGAGATTATGGTAATTGCAGAATCAAGCCACACAGGCCAGAAGTTTCCCATCAGCCAGACATATCAGTGTCCAAGGAAGCTGGTGGGTGGTGGCAGAGGTTGTGTGTCAACTGCTATAATGAAATTACACTGAGGAACATTTCTTTTCTTCTTTTCTTTCCTTTTTTTTTTTTTTAAACTCTCTGTGTTTAGCAAATGGCATGTGATGAGAAGTAGTTTGGCTTTGCTAAAATAAAGGCTTAGATTTTGTGCTTTGAGTTTCAGATAATTGTATCTAGAAGAAACCACGGGAGATAGGTCTATTAATTCTCCTCTTTTTCTCACACTCCTACCCCCTACTGCCCACTGCTCTTTCCTGCACCCCCTCCCAAAAGAGATGCTGATTAACAGGATAGAGGAGGGGGCCGGCCTTGATCTCCACCAGGAAATATCGTCTCCAATAGCCAGTGTTCTCACCCTCCCCTCCCCCGCCAGGCTGCAAGCTCACCATCATCATATAATGAAATTTACAGGCGAGATTTAATTAACAGATCATATTCATGAGGAAAAAGAAATCACAGAACGTGTTTCCAGGCTAAGTATCTTGCCTATTCTCTCCAGGTTTGTGCAGGAATTTATGAAATTAATACTCAAGAAGAACAAAAGCTTAGAGCCTACATATTTGTTGGACAGTTGCTGCTTGGAAGGGTTCTTGGAATATTAATCTCAGGACTACTAATAATCCCCAGGTATTTTAGCTCCCCTACCCCAAAAGGAGCTTCTTCTCAGCTGTAAAACTGAGTCAGTGGGGCCCTCCTGACAATCGTGTTCATCCTTGTTGATTCAAAGAATTGAATTGAATGTACTGAACATTCTGAATCCTCACTCCATGTCAAGACTGTTTTCAGCTCTGGAGCTCGAAGAGCAAACAAAGGAGACAAAAATTCCCTGTCTTCATGGCGTCTGCATTTTAGAGGGAGAAGAAAGATGATAAATTAACAACTAAAATATAGACTATGTCAGAGGGTGATTGGTACTCTGAAAAAAAAAAGGCAGGCCGGAAAGTCCTGCAATATTAAGTCAAATGGACAAGGAAAGAGGACATTGAAGCCAAGACATGGAGAGAACTGAATGGTTAGGGGAGAGGCCCGGGGTGGGAGCTGCCAGAGGGGAGCCAGGAGCTGGTGGAGTGGAGTGTGGGTGGGGGGTGGGCAGCGAGAGGTGAGGTCTGAGGGGAAGGCGGAGAGGTGCAGACGGGGGCTGTGAGGCCGTCCTGACTTTTACTCTGAGTGAGGTGGGGAGACACTGCAGGGTGCCCAGCAGGGGAATGACGTCATCTGAGGAAGGATCCTGGGCCCGACCATTCTGGCAGCATTTTTATAGACTGGGCGGTGAATCGGGGAGGGGTAGGGGAAGGAAGGAAGAATGGAGGCCAGAGGCTGATTTTATATGCTATGTAGGTGATGAGTACTGCTATCCTCTTTCTTTCCACCTTGTATAGTGCCTCATTTAAATTACTCTTTCAAAACCTCAGCCCTGCCTTTAACTCGCTTTGCTCCCTGTGGAAATCAAAACCAACTAACTGAATTTAATGCCCTTCTCACCTATGCTCCTCCCCTCGTTCCTGCCCCTAGTAGCTTGTTTGATCTAAGAATATTAACGGTGCATTTGGTATAGAACAAACAACACTGACTTATTTTCTATTATTTTCACTCTTTAAGAAACATGCTAAAAATACATTCATCTGAAACAACAAACCAAAAAATCATTGTTTTTTTTAAACCTGTCAATTTCAAATCCAGTCCCAATCACCCTTACTTGAAAAACAGTCACATCTTAGCTTTCCTCCACTTACTGACCCTTATTCTTTCAAACAGAAATCATTCCTGTCCTTACTTTCCTGTGGCTTAGCTGTGTGTCAGTGTTCTGAGGGTTCGCCAAGCCTTTTATACGTTCTGCTTCCTTGTAATGGCTTTGTGTGTTTTTCCCTCTGTAACTGACTCACAGGTGACACTGGGCAGCTTTGGTGCAAGATGCAATGGAGGGGCACTGAATGGGCTCCGGTGAAGTGCCTCGGGCAGAAAGAGAAGAAAATGGACTTTGAAGAGAGGAAAAAGCACATTTACTTTGACTCCCTTTCATCTTTCTAATAGTGAGGGACGCTCACTGTGAAGGGACAGAGGCTCCCCACCTCTGTGTTTCCTCCAGTAGGAAGGGTCTGGTCAATGGTAGAACAAACGTCCCAAACAATAGGCTACACGTCTGTGATCTGTGCTTCCCAACTCTTGCCCCGCCTCAGTCTCCAAAAATAAAACCAACCTAAAATCGGTTACCTGTATAAAGCATGGCTTTCAGAAATCTATAGTAGATAACAGAGGCCTAAAATACCTCAGGTAACTTTAAAAGGTTTTGTTACACAGAAAGTCATCCTCAGTAAAATGATGAAAGTTCTGAACTTCTGTAGTAATGAAGTTTTCTTTTACAGGACTCAGCCCACACATTTTTGTAGATCTGATGGATCCCCAGATGTTGCAGGGCACCGCTCCAGGACGTTGTTATGGGGTTAGGGAGTTCTGTATGCATGTGGCCTATCACAGGCCTTCGCTGCCACATCGTTCCTAGCACGAACCACGAGATAAACTCAGCCAGAGCCAATCTTGGGGGGCCTGGGTCTCAGCTCCAGCTCATCCCCACCTTTCCCACAGCCTGGGCTTCTCTTTAAGAGAGTGTGGACCAGGTCATCTGGGCCCAGTAGGAAATGTCCCCATGCTATTTTTGGATAAACAATTCCAGGAAATGAAATAAGAAAAGCTACTTATCTATGTTACTACCAGAGCACCAGGCTCTTCCATCAGACATTCCCGTGCCATGGCCTGGATAGGTACCCACAAACACAGCAGGGGACACATCCTCAAATACAACCTGCATTTCTTTAGACCCAAAATCAATTTCCTGAGGGTGGAATGGGGACAAAAATTACCTATCTATCTATCTATCTATCTATCTATCGCTGAGAGCACCCAAGGGGATTTTTCCTTTCTAAGGAAGGAAATTGCACATGAGGGTGCAGGTTGAAGGTGTAATATAACATAGTAGTTAACCATTGTGAGCATGGAGTCCTGCAACCTGTCCTAGTCTCCTGGCTTCATCACCTTCAAGCTGTGTAACTGGGAGCAAGTTATGTAATTTGAGTCTAGATTATCACACATTGAAATGGCAAAAAAAACCCAGAACAAAAACAAAAACACAGAACAATAATCCATGAGATTATTTTGAAGATGAAAGGATAGGTTTCATGGAAGCATTTAGCTCAAAGTCTAAAGATGCAGTAAGTGCTCTGAGATGTTAGCTGAGATATTGCTACTACCTCACTGTCATCTGGAGGAGCTTACAGAATGAATGCCACATGTTTATATTAGAGAGCAAAGAGGGACACTTGCCTTACTTGGGGGTCTGTGTCCACCGTCACTCCTGAACTATAGAGATGGTGGTTATTGACAGGAGGTGAAACCAAAATCTCGAGCACCAGTCTCGAAACCTCAGCATTGGTCATAAAGATGTAGTTCTGAAAGAGGAACCCATTCACTAGTGAAAGGTACTCTAAGATCCATGTTGGGTGCCAGGGTTGACCTTGACCTTGAACAACAGCTCCCTCTAGGAGGCCGGTGGGATTGCACTGTGACCTTGCCTCCTCCTGGGCAGCATCCTATGTTCCCCACTGTTATGGTATGAATGCATCCCCCCTAAATTTGTGTGTTGAAATCTTAACCGCCAATGTGATGATTTGGAAATGGGGCCTTTAAGAGATGGTTAGATTTAGATGAGGTCATGAGGGTGGGCCCCCATGACGGGATTAGTGCCCTTATAGGAAGAGGAAGAGACCAGAGCTCCCTCTCTCGTCATGTGAAGACACAGCAAGAAGGTAGCCATCTGCAAGTCAGGAAGAGTCCTCTCCAGAACACAATCATCCTGGCACCCTGATTTCAGACTTCCAGCCTCCAGACCTATGAGAAATGTTTGTTGTTTTAAGCCACTCAGCCTTGGTATAGTAGCCTGAGCTAAGATTCCATGCTCCCTATACAATGTAACAGAACTGATAGAAGCTTCAATCAGGGAGGGTGATGGTGACTTTCCATGGAGGGAATCATGAATATTTTCTAAAAAGAGAAGTTTTCTCTTTGAAAAGATAGAGACTGATATTTAGAAAACATAATACCTCCTCAATAAATGGTAACTATTATTGTCCTGGTTTTTATTTTGTGGTTGCTGTTACCAAGGTCATCGTGGGTGAAGACAATAGCAAACAGTTTTTGAAGCAACTAGTTTTGAGAAGCTTCCCTAACATGGCTTCCACATCTGGTTTTAAAGAAATAAAATTATAAAACTATTTTTCCCATTATCCATTGTAATACTAAGACCAGCCTTTGTCAATCACTTTTAGTCCTTAAGACTATTGTTTAAAGCCATTATCCTTAATGTTAACTATTTCATGGCTATGCTGCTGCTTTGCCCTTTGACTGGGGCCTAAAGTTTATTGTGCCTCAGTTTGCTCAAATTAT